GGAATAGTGTGACGGCCACAGAAGTGAGCGGACACCTCAGGCTTCTGTGCCGGGAGCCTTCCTGTCCGCCTCTCCTGCTAGCCTCTGCCTGTCTCTCTCTGCTCCTTCCTCTCTTTCTCTCAAACTTCCTCTCTGGCTTTTCCTAACTTGGTGTCTTCCTTGCTTCCTCTTTCTGCTCTGCTTCTTTCTCTCCCTTCTTATTTCCTTTTCTTTTTGACTCTTTAAAACTTTCAGAATTTTTAAGAGAAAGGAAATGGTAGAAAGGACATTTTAACCAAAATATTTTAATTTTTCTTCAGCTTACTGAATAACCTTTGAGTAATCTTTAGATTTCCAAGACTCTCTGGTTTAAGTTTAGTTAGCTTGAAATAAGAAAATGTGTAAAGAAGTTAGAATACTAGGCTGTGATTCCTTCTTTGAGAGGATCTTTATGTAGGTATTTTCTGGAGATATCTAAGTAAATAAATAAATCTCTTACATGAGTTGTTACCTGTACTCATGTAGTAAAATGTGTAACTGTATGTATTTTTCTAGTACTATGTATATTTTATGTATATATTAAATTGTGAAGATGGTGATTGTTTCATGAGTAAGTACACTGCCCATACATTCTTTTTTACTAGCTTTACTAACATATTTAAATGCATATTTTTCCAGTTATTTAATCTTTATTATATCTGTTTTAATCATACCTATAAACTAGTTCAAAAGGCTTTTTATTTATAGCATTATGACATTGATGAGATTATCAGTTATGAAGTATTGAGAAAACTGACATGTGATTGCTTATTTCTTTTTTTAAACCCTTTTCATTGAGTTATAGTCATTTTACAATGTTGTGTCAAATTCCAGTGTAGAGCACAATTTTTCAGTTATACATGAACATACATACATTCATTGTCACATTCTCTTTCACTGTAAGCCGCTTGTTTATTTCTAACTGTTGGTCGAAGCAACACATCTTCGCGTAATATGTGAGAGGTGTAGAACATGAAGGTGGGATCTGATGAAATCTGATGCCTCTGGAAAGCTAGTATCTAAATACTGTGGCACCTTAATATCACTATTAAAGAGTTAAATAGCATAATAAATATTATATACAAACTATTGGTCATCGTTGCTAAAGAATTTGTTAGGGATGCCGCGTGGCTGTGAAGTAGGTTACCAGACATCTGGTAACGCCCATGTCCTTCTCCTTCTGTCTCTTTCAAGGTGCCTGTGTCGGTGGCCATGATGACTCCCCAGGTGATCACCCCGCAGCAGATGCAGCAGATCCTTCAGCAACAAGTCCTGTCTCCTCAGCAGCTCCAAGCCCTTCTCCAGCAGCAGCAGGCAGTTATGCTGCAGCAGGTAATGTGGGTTACCTGCTTTGGTGTGCTCACGGGGCACGGAAGGTGCGCAGCCGTGTCAACAGTGCCACGGGCACATGAGACCATTCTCCACTTGCAAGGCCGACCTGTCAGCATGCTAGAACATAAGTGTAACTTTCTCATGCACAGCTGCAGAGGAAAATTTAGATCCCTTGGTTTTCTTGTTACCCTAAAAGGTAAAGCCCCCGGTTCTTGTCATACCTGAAAGAGAAATGGGGAGATGGTGTGTTGTGTAGCGAAAGATTTTAAAAGGTTTATTTAGAAAAGGACAAGCACACCTCCAAGAACGGGAGGCGGGCTGATCCAAGGGAGGAAAAGTCTCGGTTTTTGTCTCCCCTTTCTCTTACACCCTCGCTTAGAGGCGGTCTCTTGATTGATTGACAGGTCTTGTCCCCAGAGTGCTTAGTCATGTTTGGCCCCTTTGCACATGTCCTTGCCCATGGCGTACACAGAAAAACCCATGGGCAGTGGGGTGCTAAACAGCAATGTTAATTATAATACAGTGAGCACTGGATCGTGTCCAGTTAAGTCCTTTCTGCTACCGCACAGTCGTGGCTATCAGATTCTAAGTGGTTTCTTGATGGCGCTCATTTAGAAGTAAAGTCCCTTTATGCTGGAGATGGGCACAATGCTATCTTCTGGACCCTCTCCTCCACCTATCTGCCTGGTGCCCCTCTTATCTCACTACCTAACATTCTTAAATGTATTAATGTCTGGAGTAAGAGCAGAAAGAGGTATAATTTCAACATAAGTCAACATTTCTATATTCAAATGATTAGGTGCATTTGATTTGTAGACTTTCCCACAAAAGTACAAAGAGACCTACCGATAATTGTTGATTTAAAATTCCTGACACTTCAACACTCCTTTTAGTGTAAGTATGAAATTGGAACTGGCCATTTTGTTACAAAGGGAAAGTAACCAAAATACATTCAGAATTTAGGAATTAGAACAAAGTGGAGCAGCTAAGCCACTAATCTAATGAGATTTATCTTTCGTAAATAAGAAAACTAACGTTCCTAATATGTACGCTATTGGAGCCTCAAGTGTGTATAAAGTGGTCATTCACCTGTAGATGTACTTACCAGGGAGAAATTATCGTGCTTTACCTGAATTCTTAGAGATTTACTTTGCTCTGTTCTATGATGATGACCACAGGCCAGTTGCTTATATTTCTAAGACGTTCTTCTGTATATCTGATGAATGGCAGTTGTTTCCCAGTAAGAACTGGACAGCATGGTTGTATGTAACTCTATCAACGGTTTTTATAAACAGGAGAGTAGAACCTATTTCTGTGTGGTCCTGGGACTGCAGATATAATAATTAAGAGTGTTCATTTGGCTCTGGCCCTTTAGAAGACAGATCCTCTATACCCTTTTGTTTGGGAGATTTTGGATTCTGGACTGGAAGTTTTCAGAGCTGCCTTGAGGGGGGAGGGAGGGAGTCTGTAGATTGTCTCCTTGAATCCAGTGCATATTTGCTGTTGTTCTCGGGAGGTGAATCTTAATGGAGACTCTACCCCGTGCCAGTCTAGAAGGGTTTAGGAGATTTATACTACATGAAACTTTTGCCTTTATTTATTAAAGTCAAAATGGTTTATTCAGCAACAACTACAAGAGTTTTACAAGAAACAGCAAGAGCAGTTACATCTTCAGCTTTTGCAGCAGCAGCAGCAGCAGCAGCAGCAACAGCAGCAGCAGCAACAGCAGCAACAGCAGCAGCAGCAGCAGCAGCCGCCGCAGCAGCAGCCGCCGCCGCCGCCGCCACATCCCGGAAAGCAAGCAAAAGAGGTAGGGTCTGGCTGGCCCTGCCCGCGCAGAAGAGCGTGAGGTTGGGAAGGGCGCTGAGAGGCGAGGGCAGTCCGAGATCGCCCCATCACCCGGCTCTTGCCGTCAAAGATGCATTATTACCCACTGGCACTGAGCTTTTAATAACAGTGACAGTAGAACCCTCCTGCTCTTCTTTCTTGTAGCATGGGGCTTGGGAGTTACAATCCAGTGCTGCTGTCTGTCACCCAGTGTTCACTAATGAATCACAGTGTACAAAGCGCGAGCTGTGTGGTGGACAGAGTACTGATTGTCTTGTACTCACCGAGAATCTAAGTTGGTGAGGGAACCTTATTTTTCTCAGTGGTGCAGCTCAGAGAACATGCATGCAAATTTAGCCTGTTGTTGGTTGGGGTGGGAGTCGGGTGTGGGGGGAACCGGGGGAGAAACTGGTTGAGCGCAGATTTCAAAGTCACAGGCCCCTGATTAATGAACTGCTACTGTAGGTTTGGAGTGGCGAGTAGAAAGTTACAGTTTGATATGCTCATAAATCAAACTGACAAGCTGGCTTCTCTGGCCGAGCTCGCACTTGTCAGCAAACTGCATCAAATATAAACATAATACAAACAAAACATGTTGAAGTAGTTAAATTGATCAGCAGGTATCAGAGCCGTTGTCTTCAAGCTGCCCATTATGCAAACGTACAGGAAACAGTTTTGACCCCCTGAGGCTTTGTTTCTGTTTGGATTTGTGAATAGAATTTCAGACAGCCATCAACTACAGAATAGCAATTGCTCCCTTATTTCTCCGGAGGCTTTGGGCAATCCACATGACTTGCTCCATTATGCAGTCTGTTTTCCAGTGAGCGCATCAGAAGTTTCTCTTTTCCCCAAACTAAAAAGGAAAGGTCTTCCACAGCAGCTTGTCTCCCTCTGAAGTGTGACTGCCTGCTCATACCCTCCCGAGTCCAGAGAACTCTGGTTTGTCTTGCAACGCCTCACAAAATTGGAAGTTATACTTTTCCTTATAATAAGGGCACTTTTTTTTTGGCCTTGAACATAATTCCACCTTTAATATATTCCAATAAGAAACGAGAGGAAGAGAGAGAGCTAACAGGCCTGTCCTATGAAGGCTACATCCCAGTTTACTAATAGATCACTGGAGACCACAGTCATGGACTTCTGCAGATCAAACTTATTCAGCTGGAAAAAAAAAAGTGTGTTGTTGAAGTTGACTGTATCTGCAAAGTGTTATTCTTTTAGCCTAGATAAATTTATTATCATCTGCAATAAGCCCATTTTTTAAAAGTCTGAACCTTTGTCATATACTTTCTCTAGACCCTGTTCCATCCTGTTTTAATGCAAGTTCCTTGGTTCTCTGCTGCTGTGTTAATATTTGAAAGAAAAGCAACAGACAGTCTAGAACTTGCTCACATTCCTTGAATTTTGACTACGGGATGGCGGTTCACAAACTCACGGGGCAATGAAAGGAGCGTGCATTTCTCTGTGTGAGAGCTGTTTGCGCAGACTGTGTTCTCTGCTGTTTACTGGGTTGGGTTTTCTGACACCAGCAGCAGCAGCAGCAGCAGCAGTTGGCCGCCCAGCAGCTTGTCTTCCAGCAGCAGCTTCTCCAGATGCAACAACTCCAGCAGCAGCAGCATCTGCTCAGCCTTCAGCGTCAGGGACTCATCTCCATCCCCCCTGGCCAGGCGGCGCTTCCCGTCCAATCGCTGCCTCAAGGTACATAGAAAACATGGCCCACACTTCATTTCCAATCTTGCAATTTCTACTGCTGCATGGCCTGTCTACGTTATACTTAAGAAATTGTGTTTTTATGACCTTCATGTTTATTGTTAAAACATGATTGTTAACATGGTTGTGTGACCCATTTTCTTGAGACTCAGAAAATTTCACGATACACTGCTTTTTAAGTGTGTAGTAAAACTGCTTTCAAGTGTCGTATTAGATATTGAATGAGTATTTGTTAGTCTTATGGAAGAAAGTTTATAAGGGCAACACAATTCAAGGTACTGAATTCAAGCTGTCGAGTGTGCACTGAAGATCTGCAGGGAATCGGATTAGTAGGAAGGCTAACAACACTCCGTTGAACATAAGTGAGCGGGTATACGTTTTGGTGGACAACTGATCAGGAAAAGATAGACGTTCCTAATCTTCACTCTGAAACCCCTTTCTAGAGGGCATATTCCAAGTTATACTTTGGTGGGGGCCCCATCATACGTCCTGGGACCAAACTGATCCTCTTTTCTCTAAAATTACTATTGCCTATGCATGCACTATATTGTGAATTATAGCTTTAAAAAGCTGTCAGTTGTATTCTTACTTGTTTTTCTGATGAGAAAACTTTGAATATGCTTTGATAATTAAATAATACAATACCATACAAAAATATAGTTGTATATATTCATCATTTGACTCTCAACTTTTGGGAAACGAAAAAGTTCTAAGTTGAAAACAGAAAAAGAATGGTAAACAAAATGGCTCTTTGTGTGCTGAAATTCTTGCAACAGGTGAAAGTCATGTATCTGTAAACTTCGTAAAAATATATTCTAATTCGCATTTGATTTTGTTGGAACAAACTTTAATCCAAACGAACTCAAGTTACTTATATTTGTTTCAGAGAGGCTCACGTTATAGTACTTGCTGTGCATTTTCCTGACTCTCCAGGCTACCCTGAAGAAAATCAAGAACAATTAAATATACAAAAATTTTAATTAGGCAAATAAAAAGCAGTCTTTAAATGCACATAAGTATTGCTTTGGGCACATGAAATTAAAAATACCATGGTAAATGTTTTTCTATTTACTTCTCAAATTACTGTTCCCATGGCTTATTTTTCCCAGAATTCCTCTTTCACTTGACTTCAGATCCTCTAATTTACCTGAGTCAATCACTGCTAGGAAATCAAGAAAGATAAAGTTTAAATAGTGAAAGAAAAATAAGGCAATAAACCCACTTTTCCATGTCATTCCAAAGAGAATTGGGATAAACCATAGTGTCACCATAGCGATGAATTTCTATTCACAAATAACTGTTCTTTGGAAAAATAAATACAACTCGAGGACAAAAGGAAGCAATAAGATTTAAAAAGTGAAGGTGTGTATAAATTCAGTATAAACATGGATTTCTTTGTCAGAACTATACTAAAACAGAAGCAATAAATTAATGTCATTGACTTTTTTTAGTAAAATTTGACCAAAGTCTATATTTAGGATCTGTTTTTTGTTTTTTGTCTTCTCTCTTCAGTAGAAAAGCATGATTTTATTTGAGTAGAACATTCAAACACACATTTCAAGAAAGTTCAAAGAGATGTTCCTAGGAACAAAATGTGACTTATTTGAGATATATTTGTTAAACTATATTTTTCCCAAACAAGCATACAAGGAAATTTATTATTCTATAACCATGCTAATAGTTTTCAAATGACAATTTTCTCTTATTTCGGAGCTTTCTTTTGATAGAATGATCTCCTTTTTTCCCTTCTATTTGTTTTTTTTCTCTCTCTCCTTCCAGTTTTATTGAGATGTACTTGATGTACAGCACTGTGTAAGTTTAAGGTATACAGCATGATGCTTTGACTTACATGCATTATGATAGGATTGACCTAGAACACTGTGTTAGTTCCTGATGCTGCCCAACCTAGCGACTTGCTGTTCTCGCCTCTACAAAAATGATCACCGCTTATTTTCTTCTATTTGTATTTGAATGGAGAACACTGAGGCAAAGGAAGTAAATCTGAAAACATACCTGGGTTGGAGCAGAAAATGTACATTTTAAACAAAAAAGATGGAAGTCATCATAATGTTTTCAACTGTTTGAATGTGTGAAAGTGGCACTGTGGAAACCCATCAGCCAGACACAGGCGGAACGTGTCAGAGAAAGCAGCTACAGTAAAGGAACGTATGCATTCTTAGTGCTGTTCTGGAATCTCAGAATTAGAGTAGGAGAAAGTAAAAAACTAATTGCTAGATAATGTAAGCCCTAAATCATTTCTGCCTTAGTCACTGGCATTAGTTCCTCAGTTCACTTTGTATCAGGTTTTTGGTTGGTTGATTGTTTAGCCACAAGTAGTGGCCTTATGAAAACCAAACAGGATTAATAGGCAAAGATGATACTCTCATTGTATCATTAAAAATATGCTCTATTTGAAATATTTATCGCCTGATTTAACACAGCTTCCTTAGAATACTTTTAAAGTTACAACTTCTTTCAACTATATGTGTATGAGAATCAGATGGAAGTAACAAAGTTATAATTTTGATAAGAGTAAATTTACAGACATTTTTCTCTGTATTGCAAAATGATGCAATGTTGTATTTTATCATTCTAAAGTAAGATATTTTAAATATTAAGCATTTAAAGTCATCATGAACATTACTATAACATTGAATTTTAATGTAAAATAGGCAACGAAATTACAGTCTCTAAATATGTATATAGGTGTACAGAAGTCGAATAAAAAAGGATGGGTTTTTAAGTCAATCTCAAATAAAATACTGATTTAAAGCTATTTAATACATAGATACTGTACTTTATATATCAACTAGTAATTATTTAGTGACACATTTTCATGACCCAGTACCATTGTCTACAAGTTAAAAAATAGGAAGTTACTGTGACTTGCAGTATAAACTTTGGTATGTTTTTGACATAAGATGGAAGTCAGTACATCCCAATACACAATATAGTCACAGGTTTAATATTACTACGGGGACTGAAAAACTAACAGGAATAATGAAATGCATAAGAGAATATTAAAAATATGTTGAGTTAGTTTTTGAGAAAATGTAAATGAGATAGATGGAGATTAGATTATATCATAATTCCAATTGTTACAGAGTTGCTCAGTGTATTAACATGCATATATTAAAATGGATTTAATTCTGTTTAGGCCATATGTGTTTAAAAAAGTTCTGTTTGTCAGTTCTGTGTATGTTGAGGGAAGACTTAAAAGGAGAACTTTGCTGCATTAAATTTCATGATTGAGAAAACGGAGAAATCATTGTTTTTGTAATAGAATAACAAACGATAAAAATGCAGCCTGGAAAAAATTTAATACTAAAATCATAGTAGGAATTTCTTTTATATCAGATGTATTCCTGTATCCTAGAAATTCCTTCTTTGGTGGAGATGTTTGCTTTCGGTCTTAAGTTTTAGCCAAATAGCTATTTTTACTTCTGTAATTCAGCATTTAGACAAAATGTGTATTTGATACACCTCTCATTGAATATCCATTTTAAAGTTGGGCATTATACCTACAGGTTATAGTAAGCCCTCACACAGATCAATACAGATCAATAAGATGTTAGATTTGGCAAATTACAAATGAACACTTGGATCTCTGAAGGAGAGCCCCAAAACTGGAATAATGGTTGCCACTGGAGAGGAGTGCCAGGGACCAGAGTTCAGGGCTGGTGGGGAAATTCAGTTTTGCATTGAGTCCTCTTCTCTGTGATTTAATTATTTTAGCCATGTGTGTATACAGGTTTTTCAAAATGTAAAATTTAAGATGAAAAGTGAAAATTAATGATAATATTTCAGTAATTCAAAGTACTGAATATCAAATTGGTTCAGTAAAATATATGAATAATACAAATACTTCTACTAAAATTTATTTTTTAATTATAAGTAACCCTAGAAAAGAAGCAGAGTACTATTAAATAAGTTAATTAAAAATTCACACTAGACTTATTTTACATCATAATGTATTAAAATTATGTATTTAATATTAATTAATTACTGGACATAGACAATTAAGGGCATAGAAAGAATCTTTTATTTTTGACTGTAAAAAAGCTGTACATGTAATTTTTACCAATAAATGAAGCCACTGAAGCTTTTAAACCTTGTGTGCCCCAAGGATGTATAATCTAGATATAAATTAGCGAATTTTCATTAATTCTTAACACAATGTTTGGCACCCAATAGTTACTCTACAAACTCTGACTCCAGAATTAAAGAATTATTATTTAATTGCTTTGTCTGTTATATCATACACAATTTGGTTGGGAATTCATCTTTTTATTCTTCCAACTCCTGGAAAAACAAACCTTTAATGCTTATTTGTAGGCAGTGAATAGGAATAAGCCCAAGTCATCATCCAGAAGTAGAATAGGGTTTCTCAGTTTTTTGTAGGCACGGAATTTTTAAGTTACACAATTATAAAACTTGTGGGCAGTAGTATTGTGTGTATATACCCTTGAAATACGTTTTTAAGGAAAACCGAATAATTTTCACTTAAGATTGGAAGTTGAATATTATTCTATGATGCTCTAGTCCATGGATTCCCAAATCGTGCTTGCCACGACACCAGTGTTCTGGTCAATTGAACAGCTCTTTTAAGTAATACTCATTGAGCTTTCACTCACTGCTGGCACTCGTCCAGGCACTGGGGCTAGAGCTGTGATGAAAACAGACCTCAGTCCCTGCCATCATACAACTTCCACTTTGGTGTAGAAGACACAACAAGTCAGTCAAGTAAAATACACAGTGATAACTGCTAAGGAGAAAAATTAAAAAGCAAGGATGGGAAAAAATAAAGCAACTATAGGAAATGGGAGGAGTTGAACTTGTAGACCAGTTGGTCAGGGAAGGAATCCTGGGAAGGGGATGTGTAAGTAGTGACCTGAGAAGGTGAGGGAGCCCAGTCAAGTGTTAGCTCTTGAGCAAGTTACTTAGCTTTTCTGTGCCTCAGTGTCTTCATCTCGAAAATAAAATAATGATAGTAATAATAATAATAATAATAATAATAATAATAATAATAATAATAATAGTGGTTTGGGCATTACATTAGTTAATAACGTATGAAGCTTTTCAAAAAGTTACTGGTATATCAGAAGCCCTATATAAGTATGTGTTAAATAAAACAAAGAAACTGCTAGAGGAGTGAGTTGGAGTCAGAGGAGTTGTGTAAACAGGAGCTTAGTTTTGAAAATGTAAGATCTGAGAATCTGGTAGAGTGATAACAGAGTGCCACGTAGGCAGCCTGCAATGCAAGGAAGGGGCCTGGGCTGGACATCACTTGATGAATCCTAAGCCTATACTTGTTATTTAAAACTGAAATAAATTAGTGTAATTGTAAAAATAATTTTTTTTCTTCAGACATATTTGCAAAATACTGAGTTAGAAAAAGAGATTCAAGTTTTCTTTGTTATTAGACATCTCAGAACTTTTTCACATGCTAACATGAATCACAGGTATCCAAGATCTAGCCCACAGTCCTCTGAGACCTCTTAGGTTAACAGCATTTAAAAGAGTACTGTTTCATAGAACACAGTTTAGGAAATGCTGAATTTGTTATATTACTGCCTGAAAAAGTAAATTCTTGCAAATCATTAAGATGTAAAAATTCACACAACTTTCAAAATTGTACAAAGTTAATTGGCTAGTTGTTTCATATTCATAAATAGTTTTGTATCCATAGAAAACAGCTAAGCAGGTTGGAGATGTGAAAAATTTCTCATGAGCAATGTGACAGTTTATTTTAAAATTTTTTTCCTCCAAATTATATGCACAGTAGAATCATCTATGGAACTTCAAAAACTACTGATGCCTGTGTCCTGCCTTCAGAAATTATGCTTTAACTTCTTTGGGCTGTGGTCAGAGCATTGGAAATTTTTAAAAATCCCCAGGTAATTCTAATATGCAGACACTTTGGGGAGCCACTCTTACTAACAGGAATCTCTTTTTTGACATTATTTATTCTCTGTCCCTTATCTATGATATTTAAAATATTTTCAAATTAAATATTTAAAATATATAAATATTTAATATTCAGGTGGCCAATATTTTTAAAATATAATATTCTTTTCATTAAGGGTCATTACTTGAATGGCAAACACATTATTTACCAAATGTTTATGTGCCTACTATTTGTTACCATATCATTGTGGTATCATGGTGATACCGCTAATTTTCAATGCAAATGAATAATATAATAGAATTCTACTTTAGAAGGTAAGTGGATACTTAGGTTAACTAAGTTATTACTAAAGTCCACAAACTGAATTATTAGTAGCATCTTTAACTGGTACATAGTCTCAAAAAACACCTAAGTGTCTGTAGCCAAAATACAGTATATAGATTAGCTTCCTAATCTGTTAGAATCAACTAGTACCATTTATAACTTTTTAGACACTGACCTTACAAGAGAGCTCGTAAGTACTATGCCCATTAAGAGTCACAGAAGTGGCACATGGAAATCAAGATGTCTTCTAGAACTGCATGAATCCACTTTAATCAATTAAATCAACAACTATTTATTGACCACATACCAGGCACTGTTCTAGGCTCTGGGGTTTATACCAGTAAAATATGAAATCCCTGCTTTTGGTAAATGGTGGAGGGATACTAATGAAAACAAGTAAGAAAAACAATATAGTTTAAAGATTAAAATAGAGGGAGGTGATAGGGAATGAAAGAAGGCAAGTGGGGAGGGGCCGTGGTTGATAGTGTGGTCAGAGACCCCATCAGAGGAGGTGACCCTTGGACCAACTGAGTGACAGGAGGGAGGAAACCAGGGGAAGATTTGCAACCAGAGTGGCCTAGGCTGTGGGAGCTGCTGGAGCGAAAGCTGGAAAGGGAGCCAATGTTTGATGCATTCGAGAAGCAGCAGAAGGCAGATATAACAGAATGAAATGGAGAGAAAGAGCGATGGATGAGGTCAAAGAGGCAGGCAAGAGCCAGATAATGAATGCAAGCACCTCATAGACCACAGGAGGGTTGTTTTTTTTTTCTTCGTTTTGTTTTGTTTTTTAAAGTGTTCTAGAAAGGCAGTGGAGGCTTTGCCTGGGAAGAGCTGTAGCTGAGATCTGAAGAGTGAATTTTACACAGGCAAGGTGAAAACAGGAGGACAGTCAGGGAGCTACAGCAGCGGTCCAGGCAGGAGTTGACAGGGGAGCAGAGAAGCAGCGGCTGAGGTGCTGAGACATCTGATGCCAAGGGTGCGCCAATGCTCTCACAGAAAAGGAGCTGCTAACGCAGTTTTGTTGTTAGGACACCTGACACATCAAAAAATGACAGTCAGGAAGGTTTCAGAATCCTAGGTTAAAGCTGAAATAAAGCAATAATTAATAGTCTGTATGGAAATCGTTGCCTGTGTAACAGAAATACCTTTATTAAGTCATCTTTTTTTTATAGAAAACAATCGTTTTTAACAACTTTGTAAACTGGAGTTATCCTGTCTTTTCTTTAGTCTCAAACTACGTCTTAAAATCTGGAGGAGCTAGAATCACCAAAATGATAGCTTTCAGTGAAGCTGACTGTATGAAATTGTGATAGGCAGAGCAATTTAAGGTTGCCGCTGTGATGAAGAATTTGACCAGAAGTTATGTTTGGAACAGTGAGAGTTCTTCTGTTGCTGTGGGCTACTCACCACTATGTCGAGATCAATGCTTTTTCCACTTGCAGGGGTCAGGGTGAGAGGGCTCCCCTCACCTTCATATTCTGTTGCCTTTCCCCAGTCTCCCCTGCCTGTTCCATCCCACTTCACCCCTACGCGCCTCTCCATTGATCAGCATCACTGTGGCATCTAATGTGTGTGTATGGTGGGAGGAGGGTAGGTTGATTAGCACTTCCATCCTTACAGTTGATGTTGTAGCTGGACATAGTAATAAAGAATATAGATTTGGGAGCCACAGGGCATCGGGTTTGAATTCTGTCCACTGGTTCTGAGCGTAGTGATTGAGGCTGTATATTTAATCATCCTGAGCTTCCATGTACCTGTAAAATGTAATGATTCCTAATTTTAGGTGAGGTCAACGGAGATTATGAGTGCAAAGCATCAATATAGGAGATGCTCAATAAATGATAGCATTTATCATTACAAGTACACTTGCTCCTATATATCTTTAGCCAGTTGTTTTCATATTTTTAATAAAAGATTTTAGGAGCAAAGTCTGCCTGGATTTAAATCACAGCTTTATCACACATAAGCTTTGTGACCTAAGCTATATTTTTTATCCTCTCTCCCACTTTGCTTCCTTATCCATAAATTAATTGGTTATAATAAAAATATCAACTCCATTGGATTGTAGTAAGGAATAAAGAACATAAAGTATGCAAAGAATTTATGAAGGCACTGTACTTGGCATGCATAAGTATTATTTTATAAGTCAAATACTGTAAACTCAGTTCCTTATTTTGAAATTACAATTAGGATTGTACCTAGTTTTTCTATTTTCATCCCTCATAAATCAGGTAAATTTGCATAATCTGAACCAGGGAGTTTAAAAAGAGTAGTTGATTTATTCTATTGGTCATAAAATGAAGGAGAAATTTAGATATTAACTGCTTAATTGATCCATGTAGGTAGGCATATTGGCTTATTCGGGCCCTTGGAATGAAATTCAGTTATTTCCTTTGCCTCTCTGAGAAAGACCAAAATAACTAGATAATTGGCAAATCTGTTTTTCTTTTGAGTTGAGCGTCTCCTGTTTTCCCTTGATTGTTTCCCTCCTTATTTCCTTTTTTTCATTTCTTTCAAGATGTGTTATTTCCAAATGTACTTGTCTTTCAGTTCCTCACTGATAAAAACTTAATACTAGCAATAAGTAAAAGCTACTGTTACAAGTTGAATAGTTTAATTTTCAGACGGAACTTGCTGTGTTTTTTTCTATTAATACACGATGTTATTCCCAATACTATTATTTCTAATACTGTTCTTAAATCGCTAGTCTTTAGTAGATAACTGATTATTCGGGGAAAAGCTATGGTGTTGATGGTGTAAAGTGATTAATTATTTTATATTAATAATTCTGATAACATCACTTTTGTTGTTGGCATTAATCCAGTAACAATACTAAGCTCATTATACGAACTTTACTTTGTTATATTAGTGGGGCTTTCTTTCATTTTATAGCTGGCTTAAGTCCTGCTGAGATTCAGCAGTTATGGAAAGAAGTGACTGGAGTTCACAGTATGGAAGACAATGGCATTAAACATGGAGGGCTAGACCTCACTACTAACAATTCCTCCTCGACTACCTCCTCCACCACTTCCAAAGCATCACCACCAATAACCCATCATTCCATAGTGAATGGACAGTCTTCAGTTCTAAATGCAAGGCGAGACAGGTAAATCTCACGAGATTTGTTCTGCATCTATCACCAAATTTTACTTTCACCATTCATAAAACTGAAAATAATAATATGTACCTAACAGAGGCAGAATGTATAGAACAACAAATTAAATAGAAACCTTTAGATGATCATATATTATTTTCACTAGGAAAAGAACTGTTCAAATACCAGAATTTTGATGGATAGAGTCAGGAATTTCCTGAAGAAAGTTATTTTTAAATAAGTATGTGTGGAATTATTGTGTCAATAGATTTTTATGGCTGAGATATTGTGCATAACCTGATTGCTAAAATGAGAACATTTTTACCATTTTAAAACTTATGAACCAGTTTCAAATAATTAAAGATGTATATATGACCCCCTTACTATATGTTACAAATGGACTTAGAAATCAGAATAGATATAAACACAGGCATAGTAAACCAGAAGATAGAAGATCTGGTTTGCCTTTTTTATTTTTATGACATGATGGAATTATAATAAAATTGAACTTATGGGAGTTAACTTTCTGAATAAATTTGACTGAAAAGTCATAAAGAAAAATTATTTGATTTCCATTACCATCAATGAGTACATTATATTAGATAAATTTTCACCTTACTGTTTTATTTTGGTTGTGTAAAAACTGCCTTTGTAAAAGGAGCACTTATGTACTTTTTGGTCGATTTAGTTCTATTTACTCAGGCATATGGTTATCTAATCAAGTCCTTTAATATACTTTATATAAAATACAGAAGCCAAAGTATTACTCAACATGAAAAATATCTTTTTAAAAGATGAAATGTAAGTGTTGGATTTCTTAACAGAGTGGCTTAGTCTCCCATGATACATAGCTGTAAATGTCACATTTAACTGTAGTGGATTGATAGCGCTCTGTTTTGTAATATGAGTACCTGCTTAGCTGCAACAGACTCTCATAAACAGATATTTTTTCAAAGAAACATATTTAATTGCAGTACAGTTTAAAATAGAATGCTATAATTTGATGATGTTTTTGGTCTCCCTTTGAACATCATGCATATTTTTCTTGTGAGCTTTCATTATTGTCAAATTGTATGCCTTTGGATGCTTTCACGCTGTTGTTTTAATTGAGAGTAATTTGATGATTATATATTTCAGAAGTTGGTTGATGTCTCTTGGATCTGTCTATCTGATACAATACTCACTTATCAAAAGTCTTTGATAATTATAGAAGGAGAGAGCTAATGAAGACTGTTTCAAAGTAGAATTTTTTAATCAACTGTAACTAGCAGATATATATATATATATATATGTGGTTCGCACATAAGTATTAAACAATTTAAATGATTCTAAAGGTCCATATATAGTCTCTAAAAAGAACATTTCAAAATTCTGATGGTGATTTTCCTATTACTTTCTTAAAAACAGGTTTTTTCTCTGGACCACATATGAATATCTATTTTTTATTTAGAGGTAAATGTTACATTAAGGTCATGTGGCAGGATTAGCATATGGTATTATACAGTCCTCTTAGTTTTTCATCCTTTATTAACAGTCATCTTTGGCTCTATTTCTCCTCTAATTGGAACATCATCTAGCCTTGGCAGTTGAACTATTCAATAGAACGATTAAATTTTTCTGACTGCTCTGAGCTGAATTGACCTGTTTTGACCTGTTTGTCACTGATCGTAACCTGACAGGCGCTAGCAGCCTGCAACGATTATGGCTTTTTGAGATGAATCTGACGCCGTTTTCTTTTGCTACAGCTCGTCACATGAGGAGACTGGGGCCTCTCACACTCTCTATGGCCATGGAGTTTGCAAATGGCCAGGCTGTGAGAGCATTTGTGAAGATTTTGGACAGTTTTTAAAGTAGGTTTTTTTTTTTTTAACTTTTTTTTAGGGGAGGGGGTGGATCACATGGGAGTTTTAGACAGGTAGTTAAGTAAACAAAAGGAAGCTGCAAGAAGGAAGTCAGAGTCCATTCTAAGACACACTGTAAGCTTTCTGTGCGTTCCAACAAGTGGGTTAGCCGAGTCAGGCTAAGAAAGTTAATTCTTCATCTTTATCTTTTCATGAGACTATTTTATAAATCATCCAGTAAAGGTTTTTGAATCAATGAAAAATAGTAGCCTACTATAATTGTGTCATTAATAATTGGAAGACATGTTTGCAGGATTTACTTAAATTTCAAGGTTTCAAGAAAAATTTCCAGTAAAATTATGTGAGAAGTCATATTATATATATATGCATATATATATTTAAGCAAAAGACACATTTTGAAGGTTTATTTTTATTATAGACTTTATATTTCTTAGTTTAAATGATATTTAATGTTTACATTTAACAACAAGAATACAAAGCTGAAAGTTAATAGTAACTAAAATATTAAAATAAGCATAATTTTCTCCATTGTTACTTGTTGCCCGGAGAATCATAAAGAAACATGCATGGCCGTATGTTTGTAGGATGGAATATATGACTTCTCTAGCTTCAAGTAAAAACTTTCTGTATCCTTAAAATCTTCATACAGTGATAATTTATTTTTTTAATTCATAAGAGGTTCTTTTTCAAATGAGAATATGCATCTTTCATGAAACATTTTCCACACGCAATTTCAGTATATGAGAGATCTAAACAGAGAGCACCAGCTAGGTTTATGGAGATGAGTAACTTCACAGGCTGAGACTCTCATGTTGTCATGGAGCAGCTAACAGGGTGAATGAACTGTTTCATGCTTCATCAACAATTAAGTTAATTAGCTCATTTGAAATTGCACTGCTTTGTTGCCAGGATGTTGGCAGAAACATCAAAAAGATGTGTTTACAAATGGTAGACTACAGGGTATAGAGCAAAAGCACCTTAACAACAAGGCACAAGTACTTGGCATCATAATAACTTTATAACTGAATTACTGTAAGACTTCCACAAGGATTTTTTTTAGCCTTTTTTGTTTGTTTCTGACCAATTAACAGAAAACGTGCTTTCTATATTACTATGGATTTTGTAAGTGGCCTTAAATGAAAATTTGCACTCCTGTTATCCAAAACAGCTGTGAGCTTCCATGTTGTTGGGTAGGAAACTGATTCAACAGTTCCAAGCACTTAAAATTTTAGGTAACTTTACTACAGTTTTCCTCTCTAAGAAAAACATTTTCTAAGACAAAGACAGAATATAGGGATAGTAAGTCTTTAAATAACTCATCTCATATTTCTTCATTTGAATATATTAGTCCTTGTTAATATGTTGTATTCTTCCTTATCATTAAGATTATTTACAGGACTCATACTATTTCTTAAGTATGGCAGTGTAAGCCATAGAACTAGCTCAGTACTCAGACATTTTATTGCTCTAAGTTGTTGTATTTGACAAAATTCAAAACAAATCTTTAAGAAACAACATATGTCTTTTCTTCAGTATGCTTTCCTTTGTAGCACATGGAAAGGAGCATTTTTATTCATCTCAAATACTTATCCATAGTTTTATGACTACCAAGCTTATGAACTCTCATTTTACCTTCGATGGTGCTTTTTCATACTCATGCTAGTAATTTTTTTTAAAATGAAGAAGTTACAATTAAAAAAAATTGCCTTTCAATTACGTATCAACTTTGGTTCCAAAGACTGACCATTTTTCCAACCCATTAACTTTATAAGGATGACAGAACAAATGACAGTAGATTTTAAGGCCTTTCTTTTAGTCCATTTTTGTTGATAAGCTTAGATTCTCTAAGTCAAAGATCTGTGATAAATTCTGTTACTAGAGCTAATGTCATTATACTGTACTGA